TGGGGGTAATTGAAAACCTCCAATACCCATTAAGGGGGTGGGGGGATCCTAATACTTTTTCAAGCTCATCCATCAAAAGAATTGATGGAAAGCACTTTGTTAGACGGTGAGTGGGGAGGGGGGATATACATTCAATAACAATATAAAGAAGATTAGAATAGATTTACCGGTATAAATAGATCTGTTATTTTGATTGATAAATGAAATTCAGTGTTGATCGGTGTTTATTATATTTCTGTAAAAAATGATTTGGTCGGATTCACCCGTTGGGTTTTATTTTTTAACAATTTTCACTTTATGAAATATTTTAATTAATTTTACTTTTTAACATCAAAGAATAAAACTTTAAGGAGCGAAACCAAAAGAACCCTTTTCAGAAGACGTTTCCAGCCTTAGGGGGGAAATTTGGAGCTTAAAAAGGAAAACTCCAGCTTCTGGTAACTTAAATTGATTTTTTAGTAAGTTTGGGCAATGTTGAGTTCTTTAGAGAAATACTTCAACCTTTGAGGAAATCAATCGTAGCTCCAAGGGATAAAAAGAATAAATAAAGATGAATTTTCTATTTTCATTATCAAACATCTGGATACACAGATTAATTACACCTATAACTTTTAAATGTTTGAGCAAAATATTTTTAGAAGGGTGGGGGGAGCAAAACATAAAAAAATATAAAATTATAATTTTTAAATTTTCAATTATTCCTGAGAATAAGCATCTTTGTTTCTTCTCAAGGTAACTTCATCATCACCCCCACTTCATAAACCATTTATATCAAATTATTAATAGACGGAAAATAATTAATAGAGGTAATTTAAAAACATTAAAAACTTTCAAAAAAAAAACTATAACACGAAATTATTTCCTTTACTTCCAAAATTCATAAATCAAGTTTACTAAATTGTTGAAATAAAAAAAAATAAACAGCAAAGGATGGGGGGGGGGTATACATTCATTAATATCCTGAATATTAACCTGTCCAGGTATCCGAAGCACATTTTATGTACTCTTGATTCAGCGCATAACCTTACATCTGCGATATTCACGGCTTTTCTAAACAAATAGAGATAGGTCGTCTTCTTTTATAGGATTGTAAATGTGGGAAAGTATATAAAATTTGAATATGTACTTCCACCTTACTACATACATCATCCTAACTAATGATAGAGATGAAAAATATACAGATTTCTGAACAAATTATTTTTAAAAGTGGTTCCCACCAAGAATTAGATTTCGAAGACGACAGTGCGGAATCAATTCAGTCTAGTTTCTTATATTCATGGATTTCGCTACAGTTGGCTTGAAGTGACAGTTTGACTTTTCAATTTCAAATAAAAGGGTTATTTATTTGTGGATAAACCTGTGTATAGTATATCATGTTTTTTTCTAAATATCAAAAGTGCATGAAAAAATTATTAGAAAGTGATTTTCTGTTAAAATTTTGAATTTTGAATTTCTCTATAAATTTAATAAAGTGTAGTCATGGAAAGTTTCTTAAAATAATTAAGATTTATTTTCCCACCCACACAATATACCGCAGAGAGAAATAAGTAAAATAGAATTCATACCAGACTTAGAATATTCAAAAGAAACCAAAACGAAGATTGGACATTTTTGACGTAATTTTTTTAAAGAAAATATATTTTTGTATTCCATTAACACACTTTTTTTCAAGTTAATTGACGTTTTTGCATTTTTCCCATGGATCACCAAAACTTGTTAAAATAAAAAATAAAATTTATTACTTTTGATGCTTTTGCAGAAGTGTGGAGAATAAATATTTTAACTATGGGATGAATTATTAAACCCAGGAAAATGGGAAATTTTTATTTCGTGAGTAAAAATGAAACTCAGCTTTAAAGTAGAACTAATATTCAAAAGAGAACTGTATTAGAAAATTGCATTGAATGTACATTTTCTGGAAACAAAATTACAGATAAAAAATTTTTTTTTATGAAAGCTTAAAAATTAAAGTTTCATTTCGCAGTTAAATCATAAATATTAAAGGGGTGGAAAGCTTAGTTTAAAGTAATCCTCCATATTATATGTAAAGATGGCAATGCCTGATTCACAACGGTGCCCTTTAAACCTTTCTTTTATCTACAATATGGAAGATATTTTTCTAGGCTTAAAAGTGCTTAATTATGATAATTACTATATGTTTTCCAGCAGTAGAAACCATAATTAAGAATAATCAGTTTTCAAAATCATAATCACTGGTATCGATGTGAATCGAGGATTGACATTTTTGCATGGAGGGTTACTTGAAATTACGTTAACAGATAATTAGATATAATACTGACTTTAGTCGTCTGTTAGGTTTGATGTTGAGGGCCGGTCTAACAAGCGGATTTAGAAGCCTGTTTAATTTCAGATAAAGAATTCAACTAAATTTATTTCATAATGATTTTTTACTCCATCATTGTACTTCAATAGATTATTAAATTAGACTAATATTTCAACTATTCTCTACACTGTTAAAAATGCCATTTTTGATGATATTACACTGCTAGTAATACGCTCTGACTTACATTAAATAAATGTTATCCTGACTGCTATCATAATTGTTCCTAAAATAATCTGATTGTAATAATCGTCGTTTTTATTTAGAGTACCGTAAATCTTATTTGAATAATATTTCCTTTCAGCACGGGAAATGCCGCAATTGTTTAGATATATGATTAGTGCACGTTTAAGAAGTTGGCGAAATTGAAATCGGCTTTACAGTGAGTGAGTATTAACCGTCTATGTCCGAACTTAATATTTTTCAAAATATTTTTTTTTAAATTTTCAATTTTTTTCGAAATTTTCCTGAGGAACAGAAATATTTTTATTTTTTTCATACAATGCATAGAGATAGGGACAGCGGTCGATATCGACCGCTACGTCAACACGGGATTTTAAAATACTCAATATCGACCGCTCCGGAACAAAGCAAAGTTTGTAATTTTTTCTATTAAAAGTAAATATATCTATAGTTAAATGTTGCAAACAGCTTATTTGTAGTTCAAATACCTTGACACACGGAGGCCTAAGAGGGGGGGGCAATTACCCCCGTCCCCCTTTTATAACATTAATCAGCCCCCCTCCACATTCATAACATTCAAGTTATGTTAACTTTGAACTACTACAAATAAATGTTATCTTAATAGAAATCACAGTAAACACTAGTAACTAGAATAGGTAGTAAAATAACACTAATTTGTATTTGAAACCCGTTTCTGATAGATATTTGAAGTAACATGAAAGCGCAGTTTTAACAGTGCATATATGATATTTAATTTCTATAAAATTGCATAGTGGAATGATATCTATACCAATGTAATATAAAAAACATCCACTTTTTAAAAGAAATTTGTACAAAAATCTTCTATACGAGGATTTATAAGTTTTTAGTTTAAATAAGTTTTGACAGAACACTCAAGAATGTTTTTTTTTGTGAATTTTCTGAAAAGTCTAAATTAAGTAAGGTTTAAAAAACTTTCCCAGTTTTTTTTAAACAAAAACGGTAAAACATATTTAAAAATCCTTTTTTTGGGCACCTTAGCTATTTTTTCAGCTTAAGAAGTGACCCACATGCAAATATGGTAATGTCGGATTTACAACGACTGTAATCTTAAAAGCTTTTTTCTGATCAAATTTGAATTACAGATTTCTCTGTTTGTAATTTCGAAAAAGGATTAATTTCAATTGTGGTTTTTCTTGCTTCAGAAACAATGGAAAAATTATCAAATTTAACATGTTTAACTCAAGAATAACCACAATATCTCTTAATTAATCAATCCATTACTATCTTGGCATGGAGGCTCATTTTAATTTACGCTTTTGCAGTTCCTTTATGGTTACAAAGATACAATTTTTTAGGAATCCAACATCACTTTTAAACTTTTTCATTAATTTTATGGAAATATACGAAATAAGTGTAAACATAAAATCCTTTTAGGTTTAACGGAAAACATTGCAAATGCATTATAATACTTTTCAAAATTTAGTCTCTCTATATTAAAAAAATCTGCTTTACAAAATTCGAAATTCTACAATATATTTCCCCATAAAAATAAAATGAAAAACCAATACATAATAAAATGTGCGCTTAACCCTGTGGGGAAATCTAAATAAAAATATGACTTGGTAATATTTGAAAATATCTAAAAATATGGAAATATCCGAAAAATATCTGGAAATATCGAGTAATATCGGGAAATGTCTGTAAAATATCTGAATATATCTGGAAATATCTGGAAATATCTATAAATTTCTGAATAAATCTGAAAATATTCCTGAGAAATTTATGAATTCCCAAGGTGTGTGGCGTTAACATTCTGTTCAAATCTGAAATAAAAAGAAATGCATTTATTTTTTTATATTATGGGATAAAACAAGAGATAGAGCAGATAAAACAGTTACACCCATAAACTGTTGGATTAATGGTATTGCCGTGTTTTTAAATGACCCCCCCCCCACTTGAAGATTCACAACGATACCCTTGAAATATTAGTCTGATCAATAAGATTTAAGATACTATCGTTTTTCATTATTGAAAAGTGTTTAAAAATGTGATCACATTTCTCAAGCAAGAAATGTAAGTCACTTATATAGAGAAACCACAATTAAAAATGACAATTTTTTTCAACAAAAACTTGGTTCATACCTTACTCATACTTCATGAAAGAAAGTTTTTCAGGATACCTGTTGTAATAGGACATGCCGTTATCAATAGAGAGGTTCACTTGAAAGTATAAATTTTAAAAAGATCAATTAATATGAATCACAGCAATGCACTGTATAATTGCAAACACATTTTACTTAATGTACATTACAATCAGGGGCGTACGAGGGCTTTTGTTTAGGGGGGGGGCACAATTTGCGTGCGTAAGTGCGCAAAAAAATTTTTTGGTCCCCCCCTTAAAAACCCCTTTTTTGAAAAAATATTAATACCTTTTTTAAATTTTTTTTGCCCCACCTACCACCTGGACTTGTTTTGTTCACCANGGGGGGGGGGGGGGGGCGCGCCCCCCCTCGTACGCCCCTGATTACAATAACTAATTTCTTAAAATTCTAAAAAAAGATGCACAGAAAACTGGTTAAATCTTAATCTTCCTTTTCCATATGTTTAACATACTGAATCTCATGCCACTATCTTTTAAATTACAGTAGTCTCATCTCGACACACTGTATGTTACCGGGGTCACATTAAAAATCATAAATGTGATTTGAAGTTTAGCTCAAAATTTGTGTACAGGTCAATAAAAATATGAGCCAAAGTTCTATCATTTCTAAAATATGGACCAAATTTGTAAATCTTACAACTTTTAAGGGCAGGCCACTGTTGATGAACACTTTTTCACAAAATAAGATTTCAAAGCTTATGCACTAAACATCATTCATTACTTTATCCTTTCCAGTTTAACACATTGCACAGTGTATTTAATGATTATAATGTTTTAAAGAACTAATTCAGAAAAATTGATATAATGAAGTTCTAATCTAAATAGATAAAAATCAGCTGATTAGATAAACCGGATTATTAAACCACAAGCATTAGCGCCGGAAACTTATTGCTGAACAAAACTCGGTTTTGAATGTCTGCAATTTTCAATCCTGTTTAAATCTTGTTTATTTATCTTAATATAGAAAATAAAACATACCTCATCTGAAGTCAAAAATTAAAATTATAATGGGTCTACTCCACAATAGAATATCAAAACCAAGCTAGGAACATTCCCGTAGGTCTCCCGAGTGACCCCCAATCAAAATTTGAGGCAAATCGGTACAGGGGTTCCAGCGTTATGATTGGACAAACAGACAGACATATAGATTACAACTTTATATATATAGAAGAAACCGTACAATGCTCTAGATTTCAGTGTTTAGAAACCTGATTTGACTGTTAGTTAGGCAATCAAAAAGTTTCCTACGCTCTATTGAACTAATTCAACAGATTAAAGGTTATAAAATATATCCAGTAATTTTATTTTAAAAATTAGGGAAATTTACATTTCAACCTAACCTGAATTTGGCATGCTAAGAATGCCGAATATGAATTTTCAGAAGAGTTTCAAAAATTGAATTAAACCAATTTCTTTAACTAAGGAATTAAATTACAGAAATCATTTCATTAACAAACAATTCTCACCCAGGAAACGTTTTAACCGACTTTGTGCCGATGTTAACCGACTTTATGTGCCGATGGCGAAGTTGGCGGGTAAATCATTCTGGACTTTATATGTTTGCTATTGGTTTGTCGGAGACTAAATGTTTGCAGGTAAAAGATTGGATAGGAAAATTAAATATTTTTATTGAAATCAACAAACTTGAATTAAATTGTTTTGGAGTTTGGACAAGATTTTATAAAAATCGAACGTTTTTTAACGAAATTCCTGACACAATATTGAATCAATCATTATCAATCAATATTGAAACATTGAGATTTTAAATGGCTTTTACACCTTATAAAACCCTGAGGGCAAGATAAATAAATATAAGTAAAAATATAACGAATCATTTATTACAAACTAATATATGTACAATGTTATACACGGAGTGTAATGAATAAGGCACATGATAACATTATAACTAATTTCATTTATTTTAATATTTAATTCATGGCGAATAGTGTCTACAATCTACAACTTCATTTTATAAACGAGAAATAATGAAATTACAAAATCATGATATTAAGTTATATCATTCAGTCAAGTTAAGAGGAAAACAATAAAAATATATTATGCTATGAAAATAATCAAAATAATATGGCTGACAATAACATGTGATTTGATTAAATACAGAATAAAACTAACTAATACGAAAACTAATAATTCGTAATTTGAAAAGCTCGACCAAAAAGAAATGGGAAAGGGTTAAATATTTTACAAGCATTTCATTCATAAAGTACAACTTAGGAAAGAATGGATTTTGTTTACATTTGTGTTTAGACATATTTGGACCGATCAACAACTAGTTTTTTTAAAAACAAATTTACATTTGAAATTTTACGTCACAGTAAGAAATCAAATCCTTCTTTCCTTAGTTATATACAGTCTTAAGGCGTAATTTCAAGTGACCCTCCATCCTAGGATGACAATTCCCGGATTACAACTGTACCCTTGACACCTTTATCTGATCAAAATGTGGAAGATATTGTCCATAGGGTCACTAAAAATTACGCTTACAGTCCCTTTAAACATCATGTGAGAAACATTATTATGTACAGCGCTGTACAGCGCAGTGTATCAAATTCATTTTTCATAAATTCATCATGATCAGAATAGTAAAATAATATTCTTTTTTTGTGTTCATTTATACACAATAAACCATCAATTTGCACCCTTTGGAAATTATGAATAAATTCAAATTTTTATTATAAGGGGTGTATTCATTTAGCCAAAAATAATAACTGTCTCGATCCTTATTAATTACGAATATTTTTTTCATGAAAATGATGATTTTAAATGGCCTCATATCCTCTCCTGGAACGAGTAGTTTTCCTGAAAAAAAATAATTGTTTAAAATTTTTTATCGGGGGGGGGGGGGCCGTCGAAAATAATCCAAAATACGATACAAACCAACAATCAAACACATATTAACTTGGAATATTATAAATTTATTTAACTGAATATTGCTTACAATCTATTAATCTTGATCTGAATTCAGACCAGATCAGAATATGACATTTAATCAGAAACTTCAGCAGATTTTCTTCACACCCCTTTTCCAGAATTGGGTTACGTGCACACATATTCAAAAATATATGACAGAAAGAGAATATATGATGCCGCCTCTAATATTGTAAATAAGTACATGTATGAGATGCTTGGCTTCTAGAAAATAATAATTCTTGATCGTTACAGCCGTTCCGATATTTACTCCACCCAAATAAAATCAACAGAAAAGTCAACTAGAAGTTTTCAAACGAAATTCCGTTGCGCAGAATTGTGCAAAATTACAGGGCTCGCAATTGCGCGCAAATAAAATCTACTTCCAATTTCTTTATTGCATTTTTTTATCTTTCTGAAACCCTAATTAACATGAACATGTATATCCCTGGGCTATGTGAATACATTCAGTTGTTTAATTAATTTATTTCCATTAATTAAAGAGATTAATTACTCTACAGAAAACAAGGTTTACACAAAAATCTTAGAGCAAGGCAAATAAAAACCATTTTGTCGAGAAAAACGTTGGCAGACGAGGACCTAAGCCATTTTTATCTAATAAATTGGTCGAGAGGTTTTCAAGAGAGATTAAGAGCTTTATTAAAACTACAGTGAAACGGCGAACTTATCAGAAGCGTAATTTGAACCATAACCAAAAGTTAGTCTGGCAAATAACACTAAGAATGACCCTAAAATGTCCTGAATAGAGAAGGTTGGAGGGGGGGGGGGGCTAGATTTTTATGTTAATTTAGTAAAAATGGACTTCAATCCTTTTCCCTGAAAACTCAAGCTATGCTTGAAGTATTTTAAATGTTGAAAATTTCCAAATTAAGAAATGGAACCCAGTTTTTCAAGGAACTGCTATGCAAGAAAATGAAAATAATAAAATGCCTGAAAATAGCAAAAAAGAACAATCAATCTTTTCCACAAATTCAATTCTATCACAGATGTCACCATTTATCTTTTTCCTGTTTATAAACAATATTTATGGTTTGTGAAGTAGACAAATCTTTTCTATAATATCTGTTATATTGTCTCAATTGGAAAACTTTGTGTTGGATATTTTGGATCTCTTGACCTTGATATCCACTGTGAGCACAATTGTATTTGAGGATTAATATTTATTCTATTTATTTCAGTTCCTCCTCCCCTGATCAAAACTCCCTTCAACCCCTGACTAGGTACTAATACCAGGCGGGATATCAAATTAAGATTAAACTAATCTGCATTTCTTGATCAAGCATTGCTCTCGATATACACAATATAAAATTTCCCAACTCTGTTTGTTGTTTTGTTTGTAAGTAATAAACGTAACCAAAACCGAGTTCATTGTGTTTTATAGAATTTGGCTCGACACTTCATGACACCAAATTTTGTACAGGCTGTGTTAGGTCCATAAAAATAAGATAGAAGGCTGAAATTTTTCATGTAGCCTCTTATTATGGTCGATCATTTACAAAGATCGCGAAAATTTGAGATCGGAGGTCATTGCTCTCCATTTTTACCTCCTTGAACATGTATTGGCCCACCCTTGAGACTCTACTTACATGTAAACGAAGACCAGGAGAGCTAGGACAGCAACAGCTCCTCCTAGTCCGAAGACGAGTCCCGTAACTAGATGAGAGCTCTCAGGCTTAGATGTACTGGAGGGGTAGAATATCTACACAAAATAAAAATAAAATAA